CCCCTTTTTCCCCCGGGGGGTTTTTCCCCCCCCCCCCCCGGGGGGCCCCCGGGGGCCCCCCCCCGGGGGGCCCGGCCCGCCCCCCCCCCCCCGGCCAAAAAGAAAAACAAAAAAAAAAAAGGAAAGAAAAAAAAAAGGGAAAAAGGGGGGGGGGGGAAAAAAAAAAAAAAAAAAAAAAAAAAAAAGGAAGATAAAAAGAAAGAAAGAAACAAAATAAAAGGGGGCAAAATTTAAAAAAAAAAAAAAACAAAAAAAAAATGTTTAAAAAGGGTTTTCCCCCCCAAAAAAAAAATTTTTCTTTAAAAAAAAATTAAAAAGTTATAAATTGGGAAGCAGTCCCAAGAGCACCACGGGGTGTAATGGATGTCCATCTTTTCCTCTATGTTAAAAAAAGAATCGGCCATAGAAATACATAGTAGTTTTAGTCTTTTTCTATAGGTTTTGGGTTTTCTGCGGTGGTCGTGGAGGTTTTAGTTTCGTGTGGGAAACATATGTCTGGTTTATGAGATTCTGGTTTGTATTAGTGAGATGTTGGGTTTGATGATGGGAGTATTCTGGTTCTTTTTGTAAGCGTACGGTTCTTTTTGTGTGCAGTATTCTGGTTCGTAGGTAGTGCAGTATTGGCTGTAGGGAAATAGTCTGGTTTTTTAGGAGTGCGTATTCTGGTTGTTGTAGGGCAGTAGTCTGGTTCTGTAGTGTAGGGAAATAGCGGCGAGTGAGGCAGTTTTTGGTTTTGAGGGGTAGTGCAGATTTTTTCTGTGTGTAGGATATTCCCGGTTCTGTTGTTGTAGTTAGGGCGTTGGGTTTTGGTTTTGTACGGAGTGCGTTGGGGTTGTTTGTTTGGTGTAGTGTGTAATTTTTTCTGAGTGTAGGAGTATTCGGTTTTGTGAGGCGTAGTCCGGTTTGTTGTTGTAGTTTTAGGAGTAGGGCGGTTCTGTTTTGTATGTATGCAGTATTCTGGTTTTGGTTTTGTTGTGCAGTGGTTGGTTTGTAGTGTAGGAAGTCTGGTCTGTAGGATGCAGTAGTTGGTTCTGTAGTGTAGGGCAGTATTTGGGAGTTAGTGCATATGTCGGTCTGTGTTGTAGTGGAGTGAAAGTCTGGTTCTTTATGAGGGGTTGTCTGGTTTTCTGTGGAGGGGGATGTTTTTGGGTTTTTGATGATGCAGATTTTGGTTCGGTTGTGGTAGTCAGAATGCTGGTTTTGGGGGGTAGTCATATGCCTGGGTTTTGTATTGGGGAGGGGTATTCTGGTTTTGTTGGTGGGGCAGTATGTTGGTTCTGAGGTAGTGGGAGTCTGGTTTTTGGGGAGTGAAATAGTTTGGGTTTGTTGTTTTTATGTATGCAAAGTTTTTGGGTTTTGGTGTGTATTGGGTATTGGGTTTGTTTTTGGAGTGTAGTGCTATTCTGGTCGTTTTTTTTAGTGTAGTGAGTAGTCGGTTTTTGTGTGTAGTGCAGAGTCTGGGTTTGTATTTTAGTCATATTCCGGTTCTGTTGTTGTAGTGTAGTGCAGTATGTCGGGGCGTGTGTATGCATATTTTGGGGTTTTTGTTTTGGTATGAGTATGTCGGGGTTTGTTTTTGTAGTGTAGTGCATATGTCTGGTTCTTTGTTGTAGTTAGGCGTATTTTGGTTTTTTTGTTGTAGTGTAGTGCAGTATGTCTGGTTCTTTGTTGTAGTGTATGCGTATGTTGGTTCTTAGGTAGGGCGTAGTCTGGTTTTTAGTGTAGTGCGTATGTTGGTTTTGAGTGTAGTGCATATGTCTGGGTTTTGTAGTGAGTGCAGTTTTTTGGTTCTTTTGTTTTAGTGGAGTGCGTATGTTGGTTCTGTGTGTAGGCAGTATTTGGTTTGTGTGTAGGGGAATATGTTTTTTGGTTTTTGTAGTGTAGTCAGTATGTTGGTTCTGTTTTGTAGTGATGCGATGTTGGTTCTGTAGTGTAAAAACGTTGTCTGGTTCTGTAGTGTAGTGCATATTTGGGGCTGTTTGTTGAGGGGGGGGGTAGTCTGGTTCTTATTAGTGCAGTTTTTTTCTGGTTCTTAGTGTGGCTAGTCTGGTTTGTTGTTGTAGGTGTGGAGTATGTTGGTTCTGGTTGTAGTGAGTGGTAGTCGGTTCGTTTGTTTTTAGTGTAGTGCATATGTCGGGTCTTTTTTAGTGTAGTGCGTTGCGGTTTTGTAGTGTAGGAGTATTCGGTTCTTTTGTATAGTATGTCTGGTTCTGTTGTTGTAGTGGCAGTTGTCGGTTCTGAGTGTAGTGCAGTAGTTGGGTTTTTGTTGTTGTAGGTATGCTTTGTCTGGTTCTGTGTTTTAGGAGTGCAGTATTGGTTCTGTTGTGTAGTGTAGTGCAGTATTCTGGTTCTTTTTTAGTGTAGGCTTATTTTTTCTGTATGTAGTGCAGTAGTCTGGGTTTTGTATGTAGTGAGAGTCTGGTCTTTGTTGAGTGTATGCTAGGGGGGTTCTTATGTAGTGCATATGTCTGGTTTTGGTGTTTGGTAGTGCAGATTCTGTTCTGTTGTTGTGTGTAGTGCAGATGTTGGTTTTTTTTTGTAGTGTATGCGTATGTCTGGGTTCTGTTGTTTTTTGTAGTGAATGTCTGGTTCTGTTTTGTAGTGTGTGCAGTATGTCTGGTTCTGTGTTAGGCAGTATTTGGTTCTGTATGTATTTCAGTATTCTGGGTTTTGTAGTGGAGGCGTATGTCTGGTTTTAGTGTGTGCATTGTCGGTTCTTTTTGTAGTGGAGGGCAGTATTCTTGTTCTGTAGGTAGTGCAGAGTTGGTTTTTAGGTAGTCGTATGTTTTGGGCTGAGGGTGGCATATGTTGGTTCTGTTGTTGTAGTGTAAATGCAGTATGTCTGGGTTTTGTATGAGTGCAGATGTCGGGCGTAGTGTAGGCAGTATTTGGTTCTGTTTTGTGTGGAGTGCATATTGGGTTTCTTTGTGTAGTGCGGAGTTTTGAGTTAATGGAATGCTGGGTTTTTTTTTTAGGTTTGGAAATTTTTGGGCGGGAGTGTAGGGATAGGGGGGGGTTGTAGGAGGAAAAAGGGTCGGTTTAGTGGGGGAGTTTTTGGGGGGGATTGGGGAGAGGATTTTAAGGCAGATTTGGGGCTGGTTTTGGGGGGACGGGGAAAGGGAATGAGAGTGGTTTTGGGGTTAAAAAAAAATAAAAAGGTTGGGGGGGGGCAAGGGGGGGGGGGGAAAAAGGAGGGGGGGTGGTAAGGGGGGCAAAAGGGGGGGGGAAAATGGTAGGAGGGGGGGGGTAGGAGAGGGGGGAGGAAAAAAGGGGGGGTTGTAGTTAAATGCAGTATTCTTTCTTTTTGTAGTGTAGTGCAGATTTTTGGTTCTGTTTTGGGTTTTTGGTTGGGAGGTAGCGTTCGTTTTGTAGTTAGGCGTATTCTGGTTTGTGGGTTTGTGTAGGCTATTCTGGTTTTGTATTTAGTCGTAATGTCTGGGTTTTAGGGTTAGTGCAAAATTTGGTTTGTGGAGTGTTGGGGGGAGGCCTTTTCTGTAGTGTATCAGTATTCCTGGGCTGTTGTTTATTTGGGAAAATGGGGAGTTTGGTTCTGGGTTTTTTAAAATGTAGCTAATTTTTATTTTTAATTATAAAGGGCCCCTTTTTTAAAAAATTAAAAAAAATTTCTTGGTTTTCCTGTTGTTTGTTTTGGTTTTGTTCTTAGTGGGCAGGTGTCTGTTTTTTGTTTTAAGTCGGTTTGGGGGAAAGTGCAGTAGGGTTGGTTTTGGTGTTGAGGGGGAATGTGGGTCCGAAAGTGAGAGTACCCTTTTTTTTTTAAAAGGGCTTGGGTCCGGTTTTTTAAACAATGTTGGGGGGTTGGGGCCCCCTTCGTTGAGGGGGAGGTGCCCCTTTAGGCCCAAAGCGGGCTGGGGGGAGAGGCCCCCGGGGAACCCCCCGCATTTGGTGCCGGGCGTCCCCCTTTTTAACCCATCCCGGGGGGCACCACCCACTCCCATGGTGGTGCCGGGGCCCAAAAATTGAAGAAAGGGGAGAGGGGGCCCCGTTTCCCTTTATAAAAAATAACCCTTTTTAAACCCAACCCCCCCCCCCCCCCCCCCCCCCCCCCCCCCCCCCCCCCCCCCCCCCCCAAAAAAAAAAAAAAAAAAAAAAAAAAAAAAAAAAAAACCCCCCCCCCTAAGGGGGGGCCCCCCCTTGGGGGGGGGTGGAATATATGGGAAAAAAAAAAAAAAGCAAAAAAATTAAAACCCGGGGGGGGAAGGGGCGGCCTTTTTTGGAAAAGTGAAAAAGCCTTGGGGGAATTTTTTTTTGTTTTGTTTTTGGGGGGGGGGGGGGGGGGAACTTTGACCCCTTTACCCCTTTAAAGTATGTTCTGGTTCGTGTAGTGTAGTGCAGTATGTCTGGTTCTGTAGTGTAGTTAGTGCAGTATGTCTGGTTCTGTGGTTGTAGTGTAGTGCAGTATGTCTGGTTCTGTTGTTGTAGTGTAGTGCAGTATGTCTGGTTCTGTTGTTGTAGTGTAGTGCAGTATGTCTGGTTCTGTAGTGTAGTGCAGTATGTCTGGTTCTGTAGTGTAGTGCAGTATGTCTGTGTGCTAGTGAGCAGAGTGTCAGCAGGAGGACCTCTTTCATATAGACATTGAGTAATGTAGCCTATATACAGTCCCTTACTTAATCATCAAAGAATTCACCCACTACCAGGTGGCTGGCATGTAAGCTAAATATTTGAGAGATAGAGAGAGTTTGTTTCCACTGTTTATCAAATATCAAAAAATGTGTACAGCGTATTTTATATCATATATTTTTATTTCTATATTTATAAAGGGCTTAATAGGAATAGATAATCATAATATTTCATCATATATTCTCATATGTTAGTTTGTTTTCTTGTTGTTGTTGTCTTCCTTCCGTTGGGCATTGGGGGTGAGCTGTTATTTACATCCTGTTTACAAGTCCCGGGTTATGCCAAGGCGCCCGTCCTATTAGTTGGCAGTGGAGGTGGGAGTAATTTGGTGGCTCCCTGGCGGCGAATCGCTGCTGGAATCACGACAGTGAGCACGTGACGCCGGCGTCTTCAGAGTGGTCACAGTTGTGCACATCCCAGGATATGTGGGAGCACTGCTGGAGCGAGGCCTCAGAGCCGCTGCACTTCAGATTGTCCAGGAGGATGGTGCCGGTGCCGCGGCCAAAGAAGGCCTCCCCGCGGGCCACAGCAGCCGGACCGCAGCCCAGCTGGCGACACACCACCTGGGCATCTGGCATGTCCCAGGCGTCGTCACACACCGTACCCCATTTCGACCCGGAGAACACCTCCACCCGGCCCTCGCAGTGGTGCTGCCCGCCCGCCAACCTCACCATGCCTAGAGAGAGAGAGGGGGTAGAAACAGTCACATATACTGGAGCAAAATAACATTTAACACATACCACACACTCCTAAGACATGATTGAAATATGATGCATTACGGAAGACGGCCTCTGGAAAAGTGATGCTGTGAATGTGTGTTGACTTTTGACCTTTACTTGAACCCAGAACGTGTAGCTAAACCTGAACAGGCAGCAGACTCACCGTCACTTGGTGGTCTAGTGGTGGGTATTCTTTCTGTCATGATGAACTCTCTTCCAGTTTGAACAGGCTGAAAGGCTGGAGAAGAAGAGGGAGGCGGTATGAGGTTTCTATCTGCTGTGTATGTTTCCCTAGGGAGTGGTCATCTACTTGAGAACAACTGTTGATACGGTTCTATCATCAGAACAGTCTAGACCAGAGCACTCAAAACGTTGTAAGGAGTTAATCCATTGATCAGTTAATCAGTTAGATCAGAAGAAAACTACTCTAGAAGTCAACTTTGTGATGCCCTTATCATCTCAGTCAGAAATCATAGGTTCACTGAGGTTCACCTGGTCCGCTCTGCTAACCCTGATTTGATGTAGACTTTAGTAACAGGGAGGATGGTTCACCTGGTCCGCTCTGCTAACCCTGATTTGATGTAGACTTTAGCAACAAGAAGGAAGGTTCACCTGGTCCGCTCTGCTAACCCTGATTTGATGTAGACTTTAGTAACAGGAAGGATGGTTCACCTGGTCCGCTCTGCTAACCCTGATTTGATGTAGACTTTAGTAACAGGAAGGATGGTTCACGTGGTCCGCTCTGCTAACCCTGATTTGATGTAGACTTTAGCAACAAGAAGGAAGGTTCACCTGGTCCGCTCTGCTAACCCTGATTTGATGTAGACTTTAGTAACAGGAAGAAAGGTTCACCTGGTCCGCTCTGCTAACCCTGATTTGATGTAGACTTTAGCAACAAGAAGGAAGGTTCACCTGGTCCGCTCTGCTAACCCTGATTTGATGTAGACCTTAGTAACAAGAAGGAAGGTTCACCTGGTCCGCTCTGCTAACCCTGATTTGATGTAGACTTTAGTAACAGGAAGGAAGGTTCACCTGGTCCGCTCTGCTAACCCTGATTTGATGTAGACTTTAGCAACAAGAAGGAAGGTTCACCTGGTCCGCTCTGCTAACCCTGATTTGATGTAGACTTTAGCAACAAGAAGGAAGGTTCACCTGGTCCGCTCTGCTAACCCTGATTTGATGTAGACTTTAGCAACAAGAAGGAAGGTTCACCTGGTCCGCTCTGCTAACCCTGATTTGATGTAGACTTTAGCAACAAGAAGGAAGGTTCACCTGGTCCGCTCTGCTAACCCTGATTTGATGTAGACTTTAGCAACAAGAAGGAAGGTTCACCTGGTCCGCTCTGCTAACCCTGATTTGATGTAGACTTTAGCAACAAGAAGGAAGGTTCACCTGGTCCGCTCTGCTAACCCTGATTTGATGTAGACTTTAGCAACAAGAAGGAAGGTTCACCTGGTCCGCTCTGCTAACCCTGATTTGATGTAGACTTTAGCAACAAGAAGGAAGGTTCACCTGGTCCGCTCTGCTAACCCTGATTTGATGTAGACTTTAGCAACAAGAAGGAAGGTTCACCTGGTCCGCTCTGCTAACCCTGATTTGATGTAGACTTTAGCAACAAGAAGGAAGGTTCACCTGGTCCGCTCTGCTAACCCTGATTTGATGTAGACTTTAGCAACAAGAAGGAAGGTTCACCTGGTCCGCTCTGCTAACCCTGATTTGATGTAGACTTTAGCAACAAGAAGGAAGGTTCACCTGGTCAGCTCTGCTAACCCTGATTTGATGTAGACCTTAGTAACAGGAAGGAAGGTTCACCTGGTCAGCTCTGCTAACCCTGATTTGATGTAGACCTTAGTAACAGGAAGGAAGGTTCACCTGGTCAGCTCTGCTAACCCTGATTTGATGTAGACCTTAGTAACAGGAAGGAAGGTTCACCTGGTCCGCTCTGCTAACCCTGATTTGATGTAGACCTTAGTAACAGGAAGGAAGGTTGACCTGGTCAGCTCTGCTAACCCTGATTTGATGTAGACCTTAGTAACAGGAAGGAAGGTTCACCTGGTCAGCTCTGCTAACCCTGATTTGATGTAGACCTTAGTAACAGGAAGGAAGGTTCACCTGGTCCGCTCTGCTAACCCTGATTTGATGTAGACCTTAGTAACAGGAAGGAAGGTTCACCTGGTCCGCTCTGCTAACCCTGATTTGATGTAGACCTTAGTAACAGGAAGGAAGGTTCACCTAGTCCGCTCTGCTAACCCTGATTTGATGTAGACCTTAGTAACAGGAAGGAAGGTTCACCTGGTCCGCTCTGCTAACCCTGATTTGATGTAGACCTTAGTAACAGGAAGGAAGGTTCACCTGGTCAGCTCTGCTAACCCTGATTTGATGTAGACCTTAGTAACAGGAAGGAAGGTTCACCTGGTCAGCTCTGCTAACCCTGATTTGATGTAGACCTTAGTAACAGGAAGGACGTCTTTCCCTCTTTTTATTGTCTTTCTCTACTGTGTCTTATTTAGCCTTAAAGAATGGAGGTTTAGCCTGCAGGCTTCCAGAGAGGCTGATTGCCCCAGAGAGGCTGATTGCCCCAGAGAGGCTGATTACCCCAGAGAGGCTGATTACCCCAGTGAGGCTGATCACCACCAGTGAGGCTGATCACCACCAGTGAGGCTGATTACCCCAGTGAGGCTTATCACCCTTGACTTCTCCATTCTATATTTCATGCACTCTGGGCCTGCCAGGCGGGGGGTGGGGCCTGCTCCTTAGAGACCAACACTCAGCTCAGCAGGGAGGAGGAGAGGAGAGAGGGATGACTGTGGGAAGGGTGACTATGGGGTGACAGTGTGTGTGCCTGAGAGCGATGACTACAGAGAATGTGTGTGTGTGTGTGTGTGTGTGTGTGTACAGGTGTCACATGTTCCATAGCCTAATTTTCTTTGTTTTTATTTACATATTAGAAGAGTCTTATTTATTCCTGCTTCTCCTTTATATTCATCACTACTTCAGTATATTATTCAGTAAAACGTTCTATATTATTTTACTTGAGCTTCATAGCCCTTTTTTGAGTGTTTGTCTTGTTGAGTGAATGAGGGAATGAGTCCACTAGCTGTCTGGTTTGGTACCAGGCCGGCGCACCTGGACACTGGACAGCATGGGGCTAACGAGCTGCCACCTGCATAAAGGCTGATCCAAATGACATTGAACAGGCAAACAACGGAACGCAGGCCTCGCCCAGACCGCTGCTGACAACGCCTGGGGAAAGAGGAGCTGCTCCCGGGAGAGACCGCTACCCTGCTCCCGGGAGAGACCGCTACCCTGCTCCCGGGAGAGACCGCTACCCTGCTCCCAGGAGAGACCGCTACCCTGCTCCCGGGAGAGACCGCTACCCTGCTCGGTAAACGAATGACCTCATCCGTTTACCGGGGGGCCAGTATGAAAAATATAAAATAATGTATGCACTAACTGTAAGTCGCTCTGGATAAGAGCGTCTGCTAAATTACTAAAATGTAATGTAAATGTAATCCGCCTCTCTAAGTGAAGTAATGCTATGTTTTCAAATGACTGATCGATTCAGCTTCTCTCTCTCCACTGCAAGGACGCGGTCAGGTAGCCTAGCGGTTAAAAGCATTGGGCCAGTAACCGGAAGGTCGCTGGTTCGAATCCCTGAGCTGACTAGGTGAAAAATCTGTCTGTGCCCTTGAGCAAGGCACTTAACCCTAATTGCTCTGGATAAGAGTGTCTGCTAAATTACTAAAATGAGTCCACGACGACTACCGCTCTTGGACCAGGCTGGCCCCCAACCAAAGATGAACTCTGGTGTGAATGTCTGCCTGGGCCTGTCCTTGTGTGTTCTGGTTTTAATATTGCGTAACTTACCCCCTTTTAACTAAAAGGGGAATATTAAAGAACTGTTAAATATGACTGTCTGCCTGTGTTTGTGGTTCCAGGATTCTATAGAACGTTAGATTTTGACCAGAATAATCAACCAAGGAAAATGCTGACAAGTGAGGACATAATGCCGGCCCTCAAAATCCAGAAAAACGCATGTCAAAAATGTTATAAATTGATTTGCATTTTAATAAGGGAAATAAGTATTTGACCCCCTCTCAATCAGAAAGATTTCTGGCTCCCAGGTGTCTTTTATACAGGTAACGAGCTGAGATTAGGAGCACACTCTTAAAGGGAGTGCTCCTAATCTCAGCTTGTTACCTGTATAAAAGACACCTGTCCACAGAAGCAATCAATCAGATTCCAAACTCTCCACCATGGCCAAGACCAAAGAGCTCTCAAAGGATGTCAGGGACAAGATTGTAGACCTATGCAAGGCTGGAATGGGCTACAAGACCATCGCCAAGCAGCTTGGTGAGAAGGTGACAACAGTTGGTGCGATTATTCGCAAATGGAAGAAACACAAAAGAACTGTCAATCTCCCTCGGCCTGGGGCTCCATGCAAGATCTCACCTCGTGGAGTTCCAATGATCATGAGAACGGTGAGGAATCAGCCCAGAACTACACGGGAGGATCTTGTCAATGATCTCAAGGCAGCTGGGACCATAGTCACCAAGAAAACAATTGGTAACACACTACGCCATGAAGGACTGAAATCCTGCAGCACCTGCAAGGTCCCCCTGCTCAAGAAAGCACATATACAGGGCTGTCTGAAGTTTGCCAATGAACATCTGAATGATTCAGAGGAGAACTGGGTGAAAGTGTTGTGGTCAGATGAGACCAAAATCGAGCTCTTTGGCATCAACTCAACTCGCAGTGTTTGGAGGAGGAGGAATGCTGCCTATGACCCCAAGAACACCATCCTCACCGTCAAACATTATGCTTTGGGGGTGTTTTTCTGCTAAGGGGACAGGACAACTTCACCGCATCAAAGGGACGATGGACGGGGCCATGTACCGTCAAATCTTGGGTGAGAACCTCCTTCCCTCAGACAGGGCATTGAAAATGGGTTGTGGATGGGTATTCCAGCATGACAATGACCCAAAACACACGGCCAAGGCAATAAAGGAGTGGCTCAAGAAGAAGCACATTAAGGTCCTGGAGTGGCCTAGCCAGTCTCCAGACCTTAATCCCATAGAAAATCTGTGGAGGGAGCTGAAGGTTTGAGTTGCCAAACGTCAGCCTCGAAACCTTAATGACTTGGAGAAGATCTGCAAAGAGGAGTGGGACAAAATCCCTCCTGAGATGTGTGCAAACCTGGTGGCCAACTACAAGAAACGTCTGACCTCTGTGATTTCCAACAAGGGTTTTGCCACCAAGTACTAAGTCATGTTTTGCAGAGGGGGTCAAATACTTATTTCCCTCATTAAAATGCAAATCAATTTATAACATTTTTGACATGCATTTTTCTGGATTTCTTTGTCGTTATTCTGTCTCTCACTGTTCAAATAAACCTACCATTAAAATTATAGACTGATCATGTCTTTGTCAGTGGGCAAACATACAATATCAGCAGGGGATCAAATACGTTTTTCCCTCACTGTATTAGATGGGACTTTGAATGGCGAAAAACGCCAATCAAAATAAATGTTCTATCACATGGACCATTATGTTTTTTGCAAAGCCCAATTGAGTTTGGGCATGTACAGTTTATGTGAAAACTATTTCTAAGTACTTTGAGATTTTCCAAACTTTAAATCACTTGCGCTGGTTGCACTTTGAAGCCCACAATGTACGGGGAGGTCAAGGGTTATGCTAGATGGTGATGGACAGAGATCAGCCAATTAAAACCAGCGGTTGCTTTCGTCTGCTCCTGTCAGAGGCTTCCATTCAATTGAATTTAATGCTCCATTCTGAGGCGCTGTGAAACCAGACGGTTCGAGACAGATGGCTAGTGGACAACATTACTCAGTCTACTGTAGCAGTCCTGCCTGCAGCAGATCAAAAGATGAATATCCGATTCACATCGGACAAATAAGTTATATTAGCATAGTCCCAGTCAGTCTTACGTGCACAGATGACTCCAGCGTCTTCATGGTGTCCACAGTTGTGCTGTCCCCAGCCGAGGTTGAAACAATTCTCCAGATTTGTTTCACTGCCCTCACAGTCCACGTTGTCCAGCAGGATGGGACCCGAGCCGTAGCCGAAGAAGGCCAGGATCTTGGCAGCGATGGCGGGACCACAGCCAAGCTGCCTACACACCACCTGGGCGTTGGGCAGCTCCCAGTCGTCGTCACACACCGTGCCCCAGAGGTTGTTGTAGAACACCTCTACGCGGCCCTGGCAGCTGCTATTACCGTTCACCACGCGGATGACGGGCCGCTCTGGAGGAGGAAACACAGAGGGCTACATTCTTCATGGAGAGGTTTATTAGAAAAATGTGTTACTGCGCGTTGCTGTTGCGCAATGGCTTTAACCTATAAAATGGAATATTTGTGAATAATAAGGCAATATTATAATAACAGATGTATCTGTTTGGTGTACATTAGCTGGAGTTAATTCCCTTTCATTTGTCACCTGGCGGCGCAGCATCGCCACTACCTTTGGTTGTCATAGCAACCGTTGTCGTTGTCACGGTCCTCGTCGTAGTCGTATTGACTGGTTCTGTTCGGTCGGTTACTGGAATAGGACGAGAAATGCATTAGAATCAGAATGATGAGTAAGTCTACACAAGCAAGCTGACGCCTACAGTACACAGCAGAGGGTTTCCCATCCTCTGTGAGGAGAGAGGGTGGGGTGACCATAGAATTAAAGAATACTAGAATGGACATTAAGCCTCTTATGTTAGTATAAAAGGTCAGCCATTTTGGTCAGGGAATTGGTCAACCATGGTTTGCCAGTGCTGTGATAAAATATTGTGCACAACAATTAATTAGAAGAATGTGTCTGCACTGTATGTTTGTTAGTTAGCCAGCCAGACAGTTTTAGAGGAATGATTCCATAAATTGATCAAATTAACTGCCAATATGCCAACATTCCATTCAAACACTGCAGTCAACCCACAGCCTTAGACAAGTTGCAAATGCAAGTACTGATATTGTATCATATAATAGCACTCACTGCTTTCCAAGAAAACAAACATTTAAAAAAATGTATGGTCTTTTTACATATATTTTAGAGGCTATTTATACAGAAAATTGTCATAAAACCCGTATAAGCTGTATTTATAATATGACAACATTTTAGGTTGACTATAATTCTATTACACCATTTCTGACATCACATGCCTTACTTTTATTTTCCTGCATTAGTCAAATCAGGAAATTAGACGGGTTTGGATTTCTCCCTGACCAAAATGGCTGCCATTTTCACCATGTTCTGGAACTTTGAGGGTTTAGGACATACTGTAGCCCTCCTAGTAATTTAATAGGATCTCTATGGGGGTGACTTCATTTACATGCTCCATTGAAACAATGTATTGAGTGGCACCTCTGGCTCAGATTTAGATAAACCTATAGGTGAACCAGCACCCTCTGTTGGTCATAGGATAGAGGTGCAGGTGGAGCAGTGTGGTCTGATGGGGACCTACAGTCGTGGCCAAAAGTTGAGAATAATAATAATATGCCATTTAGCAGACGCTTTTATCCAAAGCGACTTACAGTCATGCGTGCATACATTTTTGTGTATGGGTGGTCCCGGGGATCAAACCCACTACCTTGGCGTTACAAGCGCCGTGCTCTACCAGCTGAGCTACAGAGGACCACGAATGACACAAGTATTGGTCTTCACAAAGTTTGCTGCTTCAGTGTTTTTAGATATTTTTGTCAGATGTTACTATGGTATACTGAAGTATAATTACAAGCATTCCATAAGTGTCAAAGGCTTTTATTGACAATTACATTAAGTTTATGCAAAGAGTCAATATTTGCAGTGTTGACCCTTCTTTTTCAAGACCTCTGCAATCCGCCCTGGCATGCTGTCAATTAACTTCTGGGCCACATCCTGACTGATGGCAGCCCATTCTTGCATAATCAATGCTTGGAGTTTGTCAGAATTTGTGGGGTTTTTGTTTGTCCACCCCACCTCTTGAGGATTGACCACAAGTTCTCAATTTGATTAAGGTCTGGGGAGTTTCCTGGCCATGGACCCAAAATTTAGATGTTTTGTTCCCCGAGCCACTTAGTTATCACTTTGCCTTATGGCAAGGTGCTCCATCATGCTGGAAAAGGCATTGTTCGTCACCAAACTGTTCTTGGATGGTTGGGAGAAGTTGCTCTCAGAGGATGTGTTGGTACCATTCTTTATTCATGTCTGTGTTCTTAGGCAAAATTGTGAGTGAGCCCACTCCCTTGGCTGAGAAGCAACCCCACACATGAATGGTCTCAGGATGCTTTACTGTTGGCATGACACAGGACTGATGGTAGCTCTCACCTTGTCTTCTCCGGACAAGCTTTTTTCAGGATGCCCCAAACAATCGGAAAGGGGATTCAGAGAAAATGACTTTACCCCAGTCCTCAGCAGTCCAATCCCTGTACCTTTTGCAGAATATCAGTCTGTCCCTGATGTTTTTCCTGGAGAGAAGTGGCTTCCTCTCTGCCCTTCTTGACACCAGGCCATCCTCCAAAAGTCTTCGACTCACTGTGCGTGCAGATGCACTCACACCTGCCTGCTGCCATTCCTGAGCAAGCTCTGCACTGGTGGTGCCTCGATCCGGCAGGTGAATCAACTTTAGGAGACGGTCCTGACACTTGCTGGACTTTCTTGGGCGCCCTGAAGCCTTCTTCACAACAATTGAACCTCTCTCTCCTTGAAGTTCTTGATGATCCGATAAATGGTTGATTTAAGGGCAATCTTACTAGCAGCAATATCCTTGCCTGTGAAGCCCTTTTTGTGCAAAGCAATGATGACGGCACGTGTTTCCTTGCAGGTAACCATGGTTAACAGAGGAAGAACAATGATTTCAAGCACCACCCTCCTTTTAAAGCTTCCAGTCTGTTATTCTAACTCAATCAGCATGACAGAGTGATCTCCAGCCTTGTCCTCGTCAACACTCTCACCTGTGTTAACAAGAGAATCACTGACATGATGTCAGCTGGTCCTTTTGTGGCAGGGCTGAAATGCAGTGGAAATGTTTTTTGGGGATTAAGTTCATTTTCATGGCAAAGAGGGACTTTGCAATTAATTTCAATTAATCTGATCACTCTTCATAACATTCTGAAGTATATGCAAATTGCCATCATAAAAACTGAGGCAGCAGACTTTGTGAGAATGAATATTTGTGTCATTCTCAAAACTTTTGACCACGACTGTACACTGTTATTGCTATTATAGTACTGAAGCTCAACAATTACCTGCAATGCTGGCAGTCTGGAAGAATCCCCTTTGCATGGACATTGTGGCAGTTTTCATGGGAGGAACAGTGGTGGAGCCTGAACCTACACAGAGAGAACAGAGATTTAGAATAGTATTAAAGCCATTGAGAGAGAGAGAGAGAGACAGAGAGACAGAGAGAGAGACAGAGAGAGAGACAGAGAGAGAGACAGAGAGAGAGAGAGACAGAGACAGAGAGAGAGAGAGAGAGAGACAGAGAGACAGAGAGACAGAGAGACAGAGAGACAGAGAGACAGAGAGACAGAGAGAGAGAGAGAGAGAGAGAGAGAGAGAGACAGAGAGACAGAGAGACAGAGAGACAGAGACAGAGAGAGAGAGAGAGAGAGAGAGAGAGAGAGAGAGAGAGACAGAGAGACAGAGAGAGAGACAGAGACAGAGACAGAGAGATTCTCACCTGAACAGATAACTCCAGCATCCTCATGATGTCCACAGTTGTGTATCCCCCATCCCAGGCTGTAGCATTTACTCAGCTGGTTCTCGTAGCCATTACAGTTGACGTTGTCCAGTAGAATCAGGCCTGTGCCGTAACCAAAGTAGGCGTTGGTGGTGGAGGAAACGGCGTGGCCACAGCCTATCTGCTGGCACACCACCCCTGCGTCTCTCATGCCCCAGTCGTCATCACACACCGTCCCCCAGCTGCCCTGGTAGAAGACCTCCACCCGTCCCTGGCAGTAGTCCAGTCCACCAACTAACCGGATCGTACCATCTCCTAAAATATAGGGGAGGGTGGGATTCATCAGCATTCCATGTACACTATATATGCAAAAGTATGTGGGCACCCCTTCAAATTAGTGGATTCGGCTATTTCAGCCACACCCGTTGCTGACAGGTGTATAAAATCGAGCACACAGCCATGCAATCTCCATAGACAAACCGTGGCAGTAGAATGGCCTTACTGATAAGCTCAGTGACTTTCAACGTGGCACCGTCATAGGATGCCACCTTTCCAACAAGTCAGTTCGTCAAATTTCTGCCCTGTTCGAGCTGCCCCGGTCAACTGTAAGTGCGGTTATTGTGAAGAGGAAACGTCTAGGAGCAACAAGGGCTCAGCCGCGAAGTGGTAGGCCACACAAGCTCACAGAATGGGACCACCGAGTGCTGAAGCGCGTAGCGTGTAAAAATCATCTGTCTTCAGTTGCAACATTCACTACTGAGTTTCAAACTGCCTCTGGAAGCAACATCAGCACAATAACTGTTTGTCGGGAGCTTCATGAAAATGGGTTTCCATGGCCGAGCAGCCGCACACAAGCCTAAGATCACCATGCGCAATGCCAAGCGTCGGCTGGAGTGGTGTAAAGCTGTCTATGTATATGGTTGGTCCAGGTCTCTATTGAAAAACTGATTGTATCTCAATGACACTACCTGGATAAATAAAGGTTAAATAAAAAAAAATAGTGGCTTAAAATCCTTAACTGAATATCACTCTGTTTCATTACGGCTGCATTTACACAGGCAGCCCAATACTGATATTTTGCCCAATTATTGGCAAAAGAGCTGATCTGATTGGTCAAAAGACCAATATTAGTGGGAAAAGATCAGAATTGGGCTGCCTGTGTAAACGCAGACTATTTAGTTTGGATTCCAGGCTAGATTTATTGGGCTCTTGTGTGCGTGTTGTCTTCTATGTAGACGTTTAAATAAACACTGTAGTGAGCACACCACCAACTTAGTGGCGTTGAGGTTGGAGTGTCTGCCTTAAGATTGCAAGGTGGGGGGGTTCAATCCCCAGTCGAGACGTACAAAGGACTCAAAAAATGATAGCCGAATTCTCTGTTTGGCAGATGGATTGAGTGTAAGGCCCTACGATAGACTAGCATCTTGTATATCAAGCAGCCTCACACTACAGAATCAGGATATAGACTCCTGCCCTATGGGCTGTTCAAACTTGTTGATCACATGCGTATTCATTATAATAATATGCCATTTAGCAGACGCTTTTATCCAAAGCGACTTACAGTCAACCTTTTTACGTATGGGTGGTCCCGGGGATCGAACCCACTACCCTGGCGTTACAAGCGCCATGCTCTACCAATTGAGCTACAGAGGACCATTAGTTTTCAGTTGGTGAATTCAGTCTCTCTGACTGTGTTTTGTCCAGTGTTTCAATGAAGCCTGTTGTTCCATAGTCATTTTATATAGAAAACCGAAGCACTGAAACGTTTTCAGAGAAAACTGCATTGAGGTGAAAATAAGAAAGGCTACAGTGAGCGAACACGTATGGTGTCGTCCCGTGGAGGGGGTTTGAAGATAAACACTATTAAAATAGACAATGTATCCTTTAGGCTTCAACTTCAACATCCCCCTCCCGAAAGAGTCAGCAACCTAAGGATTCCACGTAGCCTCAACACCATTCCCAGTGGTATACATGTCTATGTGTGGAGAACCAGGCGGATACGTCAGGTTCTCTCAAAGAAGGAGCCGGGAATGATGTCCTGTGACCCACTTGGGAGTTAGGGGTATAGATAAAAGATAGACAGCAACAAAAGACCCGGAACTTTCTATAATAATTTACAGTGACTATCTGTTGTATCTTTTCACAAGGAACTTTTGACTGAGCTAGAAATGACTTTGAGTTCTACAGTTCTACATACCTGACTGTGGCTGAGGCAAGCCGACTTTATAGGTTGATTCTTCACCCTCTCCCTTAAAGCAGTTTAATACAGTGAATAAAAACGAACCCTTCTTGAAAACGATTTTATTTACATATTTTTTTTACTGCATTTGACTGAAATTAGAGACAAATAAATAAATGGATCACTTACTTAAACCGGAGTTTCTCCTAGATGAAGTGGTGGCCTCGCCAAGGCCCCGTGACACCACCACTGATGGAACTAAGGAGAGATGAGAAGGAGGGAATAAAGGAATACATTATTTTTATTAGTGAGAATGGATTCTCTAATCAGTCACCAGGGATGTGTCCTTTTAACTCACTCATTGACATCACATGAGCTCTTTATAAATTGTAAAGACCCTTCCTATAGAAAACATCATTACAACAGTAATACACTAGAGCCCTCAAACTCAACTCTGGACCTCGAAGCCAGTTCCACTGCGTTTTTTCATGGTTCCCCTCTAATCATGGACTGATTTAGACCTGAGACACCAGGTGGGTGCAATTAATTATCAGGTAGAACAGAAAACCAGCAAGCTCTGGACCTTGTAGGGTAAGAGTTGAATACCCCTGCACTAGAGTATTATACAGTGGCTTGCGAAAGTATTCACCCCCCTTGGCATTTTTTCTATTTTGTTGCCTTACAACCTGGAATTAAAATGGATTTTTTGGGGGGGTTGTATCATTTGATTTACACAACATGCCTACCACTTTGAAGATGCAAAATATTTTTGATTGTGAAACAAACAAGAAATAAGACAAAAAAACAGAACTTGAGCGTGCATAACTATTCACCCCCCCCCAAAGTCAACACTTTGTAGAGCCACCTTTTGCAGCAATTACAGCTGCAAGTCTCTTGGGGTTTGTCTCTATAAGCTTGGCACATCTAGCCGCTGGGATTTTAGCCAATTCTTCAAGGCTGCTCCAGCTCCTTCAAGTTGGATGGGTTCCGCTGGTGTACAGTAATCTTTATGTCATACCACAGATTCTCAATAGGATTTTTTTTTTGTCATTTAGCAGACGCTCTTATCCAGAGCGACTTACAGTTAGTGAGTGCATACATTATTATTATATATATATTTTTTTTCATACTGGCCCCCTGTGGGAATCAAACCCACAACCCTGGCGTTGCAAACGCCATGCTCAACCAACTGAGCTACATCCCTGCCGGCCATTCCCTCCCCTACGCTGGGCCAATTGTGCGCCGCCCCATGGGTCTCCCGGTCGCGGCCGGCTACGACAGAGCCTGGATTCGAACCAGGATCTCTAGTGGCACAGCTAGCACTGCGATGCAGTGCCTTAGACCACTGCACCACTCAGGAGTCCGGATTGAGGTCTGGGCTTTGACTAGAACATTCCAAGACATTTAAATGTTTCACCTTAAACCCCTCGAGTGTTGCTTTAGCAGTGTGCTTAGGGTCATTGTCCTGCTGGAAGGTGAACCTCCATCTCAGTCTCAAATCTCTGGAAGACTGAAACAGGTTTCCCTCAAGAATTTCCCTGTATTTAGCGGCATCCATCATTCCTTCAATTCTGACCAGTTTCCCAGTCCCTGCCGATTAAAAATATCCCCACAGCATGATGCTGCCACCACCATGCTTCACTGTGGGGATGGTGTTCTCGGGGTGATGAGAGGTGTTGGGTTTGCGCCAGACATAGCGTTTTCCTTGATGGCCAAAAAGCTCAATTTTAGTCTCATCTGACCAGAGTACCTTCTGGTACTCCCACATGGCTTTTGGCGAACACAAAATGTGTTTGCTTATTTTTTTCTTTAAGCAATGGCTTTTTTCTGGCCACTCTTCCGTAAATCCCAGCTCTGTGGAGTGTATGGCTTAAAGTGGTCCTGGAGCTTCGCAGCTCCTTCAGGGTTATCTTTGGTCTCTTTGTTGCCTCTCTGATTAATGCCCTCCTTGCCTGGTCCATAAGTGGGCGGCCCGCTCTTGGCAGGTTTGTTGTGGTGCCATAGTCTTTAAGAATGTTAATAATGGATTTAATGGTGTTCCGTAGGATGTTCAAAGTTTCAGATATTTTTTAAAACCCAACCCTGATCTGTACTTCTCCACAACTTTGTCCCTGACCTGTTTGGAGAGCTCCTTGGTCTTCATGGTGCCACTTGCTTGGTGGTGCCCCTTGCTTAGTGGTGTTGCAGATTCTGGGGCCTTTCAGAACAGGCGTATATATACTGATATCTTGTGACAGATCATGTGACACTTAGATTGCACACAGGTGGACTTTATTTAACGAATTATGTGACTTCTGAAGGTAATTGGTTGCACCAGATCTTATTTAGGGGCTTCATAGCAAAGGGTGTGAATACATAGGCACGCACAACTTTTCCGTTATTTATTTTTTAGAATTTTCACTTCACCAATTTGGACTATTTTGTGTATGTCCATTACATGAAATCCAAATAAATATCAATTTAAATTACAGGTTGTAATGCAACAAAATAGGAAAAACACTAAGGGGGATGAATACTTTTGCAAGGCACTGTAAATATATCTCAATGAGCCTTACCTCTGCATGTGACCGATACATCCTCGTAGTGGTAACAGTTATGGATGCCCCAGCCCAGACTGCCACACTGTCCCAGGTCTGTCTCCCCTCCTTTACAGTCTACGTTGTCCAGCAGGATGGGCCCCGAACCCTGGCCGTACTCTGAGATGCTGCCCACCGCCACGGCCAGACCACAGTCCAGCTGCCGACACACCACGTTGGCATCTACCGTGTCCCAGTCGTCATCACACACCGTACCCCACGTCCTGTTGTGCCACACCTCCACACGCCCCTCACACAGGTTACGCCCGTTCACCAGACGCACTGCAGAGGAGAGGGAAGGAGGATCCAGAAGATACACGGTATAGAGAGATATAAAGAGACAATAGAATGATGTCATAGTATCCTGTCGGGAGGCTGTATCTAGATCTTGTTTCTTATTTGTCACTGTAAGTGAAGAAAATCCCCCACCAAACCCATTCAATCCTCATCCTTTTACTGGCTTTGACTACTGGCTAGAAACTGTACGCTTTCTTCCTGTATTATACTCGTGCCACACAACATGGAACAGAATTTAAGTCTGGAAAAGCACATAACAGGCCCACTGTCTGTGGGACATTATACTCGTGTGTGTTACCGTCTGGAAATAGAACTATCATATAATGACAGTTAATAGCGACAATAATCCTTTTGGAATAGCTCGTCTAATCCCTTCCACTGTCCACTTTAAGGAACAGAATAAGACTAAACAAGCCACATGACTCCACTGACTAGCGTGTGATGGTGAGAGAGAGAGAGAGAGAGGGGAGGAGCAAGAGAGGGGGGGAGAGAGAAAGAGCGAGAGAGAGAGAGAGAGGGAAAGAGCAAGAGAGGGGGGGAGAGAGAGAGAGAGAGAGAGAGCAAGAGGAGGGGGGGGAGAGAGAGTATAGAGAGATGAGAGATAGAGGGGGGGAATGAGAGGGGGGAGTGGAGATAGCGAGAGATAAAAGGAGATGAGAAAGGCCAGACAGAGGCAAGAGAGGTGAGGGGGGGAGGGAAGAGAGCAAGAGAGTTTTTTATAAATGATAATATATCTAAGAGGAGAAGAGAGAGGAGAGGAGTAATTGAGGTGGATTAGGTAAATTGAGAGCAAAGGGAAGTGACCATGTTGCAGTGTGCACAGGGTGCTCCTCTCTCTCTCTAAGTTAGATCATTTGTCATTCATGCGTTGGATGTGGACATGTCATTGTTGAACATGGGTGTCTCAGACAGACAGAAGGTGTGGTGGATGTGGTGAGAGTTGGCGGGAGCCCAGCAGCACATTGCCTACCTTGGGAATGTGTCGTCTTCATGGCAGTCGTCGTCGTCGTGCCATTGGCTGGAAAAAGAGAGAGAGGAGAGAAGAGAAAGAGAGAGAGGAGAGAAGAGAGAGACTGGTCAAATGATTTGTTGAAAGGAGGTTCTTGGCCCTCCATAGTACTGTACTCTGTCTCTACTACATCTATTTTCTTGTAATCTGAGACAGCTTGAAAACGCAACAGGAAGCCTGTTAAGACCGTGTAGCTAGCTAAACCAGCTAAGGAGTAGACATAGAAATATAGAAATATGTACAGAGGGTTTATACATTCCTGTCTGTGTGATATTTGGGGGTTTTCGTGTTGAGAATGAAACTACAAAGTCTCTTCCAAATGCTGTCTTTGCCCCCCCCACTCAATATAATTTTTAACAAGATGGCAGGCTTTACTATGTTAATGTCCCTGTTTCCTAAACCTCTGTGTGCAAGTTCTGGAATACATCAAACAAGTAGAACTTGCTGGGGGCACTGGAGGAGAGGTTTGGACTGGCTGGGGAACTGGAGGAGAGGTTTAGACTGGCTGGGGTACTGGAGGAGAGGTTTAGACTGGCTGGGGAACTGGAGGAGAGGTTTGGACTGGCTGGGGTACTGGAGGAGAGGTTTAGACTGGCTGGGGAACTGGAGGAGAGGTTTGGACTGGCTGGGGTACTGGAGGAGAGGTTTAGACTGGCTGGGGTACTGGAGGAGAGGTTTAGACTGGCTGGGGAACTGGAGGAGAGGTTTGGACTGGCTGGGGTACTGGAGGAGAGGTTTAGACTGGCTGGGGAACTGGAGGAGAGGTTTAGACTGGCTGGGGACCTGGAGTAGAGGTTTAGAATGGCTGGGGAACTGGAGGAGAGGTCTGGACTGGCTGGGGAACTGGAGGAGAGGTTTAGACTGGCTGGGGTACTGGAGGAGAGGTTTAGACTGGCTGTGGTACTGGAGGAGAGGTTTGGACTGGCTGGGGAACTGGAGGAGAGGTTTAGACTGGTTGGGGTACTGGATGAGAGGTTTGGACTGGCTGGGGTACTGGAGGAGAGGTTTAGACTGGCTGGGGAACTGGAGGAGAGGTTTAGACTGGCTGGGGAACTGGAGTAGAGGTTTAGACTGGCTGGGGAACTGGAGGAGAGGTCTGGACTGGTTGGGGAACTGGAGGAGAGGTTTAGACTGGTTGGGGTACTGGAGGAGATGTCTGGACTGGCTGGGGAACTGGAGGAGAGGTCTGGACTGGCTGGGGAACTGGAGGAGAGGTCTGGACCGGTTGGGGAACTGGAGGAGAGGTTTAGACTGGCTGGGGAACTGGAGGAGAGGTCTGGACTGGCTGGGGAACTGGAGGAGAGGTTTAGACTGGCTGGGGTACTGGAGGAGAGGTTTGGACTGGCTGGGGAACTGGAGGAGAGGTTTAGACTGGTTGGGGTACTGGATGAGAGGTTTAGACTGGTTGGGGTACTGGAGGAGAGGTTTAGACTGGCTGGGGAACTGGAGGAGAGGTTTAGACTGGCTGGGGTACTGGAGGAGAGGTTTAGACTGGTTGGGGTACTGGAGGAGAGGTCTGGACTGGTTGGGGTACTGGAGGAGAGGTCTGGACTGGTTGGGGTATTGGAGGAGAGGTTTAGACTGGTTGGGGAACTGGAGGAGAGGTTTGGGAAACACTGTTTTCCCTCAACACTTTATCTTTAGGCATTAACCAAACAACTGATAAAAGTTGTACACAGCAATATTAATTGAACATCTTTGGTACATATTCTCCCATCATTTAGCAACCACACACATTCTATAGGGTTGGGCTCTGTTTAGTCTTGTGTTCCAAGTCTTATTCACTTGGCTATTGGAATGACCGTGAGAAAGCTGGACTTCAAGATTATGCTGTGTATTACTCCTCAGTTTAATGGCGGTCAGTAGTCTTTCCTGGGGTTTGAAGCTCTGTGGTACAACAAAAGCATACAGTATGTGGGCCTATATACAGTGGGGAGAACAAGTATTTGATACACTGCCGATTTTAAAGGTTTTCCTACTTACAAAGCATGTAGAGGTCTGTAATTTTTTATCATAGGTACACTTCAACTGTGAGAGACGGAATCTAAAACAAAAATCCAGAAAATCACATTGTATGATTTTTAAGTAATTAATTAGCATTTTATTGCATGACATAAGTATTTGATACATCAGAAAAGCAGAACTTAATATTTGGTACAGAAACCTTTGTTTGCAATTACAGAGATCATACGTTTCCTGTAGGTCTTGACCAGGTTTGCACACACTGCAGCAGGGATTTTGGCCCACTCCTCCATACAGACCTTCTCCAGATCCTTCAGGTTTCGGGGCTGTCGCTGGGCAATACGGACTTTCAGCTCCCTCCAAAGATTTTCTATTGGGTTCAGGTCTGGAGACTGGCTAAGCCACTCCAGGACCTTGAGATGCTTCTTACGGAGCCACTCCTTAGTTTCCCTGGCTGTGTGTTTCGGGTCGTTGTCATGCTGGAAGACCCTGCCACGACCCATCTTCAATGCTCTTACTGAGGGAAGGAGGTTGTTGGCCAAGATCTTGCGATACATGGCCCCATCCATCCTCCCCTCAATACGGTGCAGTCGTCCTGTCCCCTTTGCAGAAAAGCATCCCCAAAGAATGATGTTTCCACCTCCATGCTTCACGGTTGGGATGGGGTTCTTGGGGTTGTACTCATCCTTCTTCTTCCTCCAAACACGGTGAGTGGAGTTTAGACCAAAAAGCTCTATTTTTGTCTCATCAGACCACATGACCTTCTCCCTTTCCTCCTCTGGATCATCCAGATGGTCATTGGCAAACTTCAGACGGGCCTGGACATGCGCTGGCTTGAGCAGGGGGACCTTGCAGGCGCTGCAGGATTTTAATCCATGACGGCGTAGTGTGTTACTAATGGTTTTCTTTGAGACCGTGGTCCCAGCTCTCTTCAGGTCATTGACCAGGTCCTGCCGTGTAGTTCTGGGCTGATCCCTCACCTTCCTCATGATCATTGATGCCCCACGAGGTGAGATCTTGCATGGAGCCCCAGACCGAGGGTGATTGACCGTCATCTTGAACTTCTTCCATTTTCTAATAATTGCGCCAACAGTTGTTGCCTTCTCACCAAGCTGCTTGCCTATTGTCCTGTAGCCCATCCCAGCCTTGTGCAGGTCTACAATTTTATCCCTGATGTCTTTACACAGCTCTCTGGTCTTGGCCATTGTGGAGAGGTTGGAGTCTGTTTGATTGAGTGTGTGGACAGGTGTCTTTTATACAGGTAACGAGTTCAAACAGGTGCAGTTAATACAGGTAATGAGGGGAGAACAGGAGGGCTTCTTAAAGAAAAACTAACAGGTCTGTGAGATCCGGAATTCTTACTGGTTGGTAGGTGATCAAATACTTATGTCATGCAATAAAATGCAAAATGAATTACTTAAAAATCATACAATGTGATTTTCTGGATTTTTGTTTTAGATTCCGTCTCTCACAGTTGAAGTGTACCTATGATAAAAAATTACAGACCTCTACATGCTTTGTAAGTAGGAAAACCTGCAAAATCGGCAGTGTATCAAATACTTGTTCTCCCCACTGTACACACAGTTTGACATTTACTGTTTCGTGTAGAGGAGGCATTCTAAAGCCACTGAGACATTGGATTCTGGTTTCATTCACTGCCTCACAAAGAGAGAAGAGGACACATTGTAAACACTACACCCAAAATACAGTAGGTCAATTCACAGGATTCTCCCTGTATTAATATTAAACAGTTATGTTCGCTATGTGGGTTAGTTATTGAAAAGCGTCCTAGTATTAGAATATGGTAAATTTTTTTGGTCATCTGTATTCATATAGGTGACGTAGGACTGAAATCTGGGGTGGGAACAGTAATGTTATGGTGCATTTCAGAAAACACAGTCAGTAAAATGAGAAGAGATTTACTTAAAAAGCACTTACTAGGTATGGCTCTTCTGCTGATTTTGGTCATATCTCCTGAAATCAGAAAATAAAAATGTCACAAAGAAATGTCAGATAGCACAGCAATCCATCATGAATTTGATCGTTGGCAACATTAATCCAATACAAATGTGAAGTTTGTTAACATCTCACTGGTCTAGCCTATGGAAATTCTGAGAGATGTATCCGTCTTTTTGCAGTAGTCTACATATCAAAACTCATTTCACCCACCAATTTTATATACAGCTCTGGAAAAAATTAAGAGACCACTGCAAAATGATCAGTTTCTCTGGTTTTACTATCTATAGGTATGTGTTTGGGTAAAAATAACATTTTTGTTTTATTCTATAAACTACTGACAACATTTCTCCCAAATTCCAAATAAAAATATTGTCATTTAGAGCATTTATTTGCAGAAAATGACAACTGGTCAAAATAACAAAAAAGATGCAGTGTTGTCAGACCTCGAATAATGCAAAGAAAATAAGTTCATGTTACATTTACATTTTAGTCATTTAGCAGACGCTCTTATCCAGAGCGACTTACAGTGCATACATTATTTATTTTTTCATACCCCCTGTGGGAAACGAACCCACAACCCTGGCGTTGCAAACACCATGCTCTATCAACTGAGCTACATCCCTGCCGGCCATTCCCTCCCCTACCCTGGACGACGCTGGGCCAATTGCGCGCTGCCCCATGGGTCTCCCGGTCGCGGCCGGCTACGACAGAGCCTGGATTCGAACCAGGATCTCTAGTGGCACAGCTAGCACTGTGCTGCAGTGCCTCATTTTTAAACAACACAATAGTAATGTTTTAACTTAGGAAGAGTTCAGAAATCAATATTTGGTGGAATAACCCTGATTTTCAATCACAGCTTTCATGCGTCTTGGCATGCTCTCCACCAGTCTTTCACATTGATGTTGGGTGACTTTATGCCACTCCTGGCACAAAAATTTAAGCAGCTCGGCTTTGTTTGATGGCTTGTGACCATCCATCTTCCTCTTGATCACATTCCAGAAGTTTCAATGGGGTTCAGGTCTGGAGATTGGGCTGGCCATGACAGGGTCTTGATCTGGTGGTCCTCCATCCACACCTTGATTGACCTG